AGGTTATCACTGCATTTCTGTCCCTTTTCCTTAAGATCTCTGACCACTGTTAAATACGGGATTTTCTTTCTTTTGCTATAGCCAGTGTGAATATAAGGCAAGTGGGAATTTCTTGCACTCCTTTCCCCTCCTTTTTTCTCTATTAAAAAATAATTTTTTAAACTTTATTTTCATTGCATTTTAATATGATATGTACCAGTACGTTGCTATAAAGCTTCTTCATTTCCTCACATCTTTTTGACAGCTGGGAGAGATCCCCTTCATATTTCTGAATTAAATCCTGTAATAAAATAAAACTTCTTAATTTGCTGTAGGAGCATACAATTAAATCAGGAATTAAACAGCAGTGAAAACAAAATCATTCAAGGCAAAACTTTTATGTCATAAAAATTTCACATTTGTCAAAAATCCCTTGCAAGTATTAAAGACAAAAAATAAAAAGAAATATTAACATTAGAGAATTTTGACTGTATTATAAAATGACAAAACCTAAATCCATTAAAAGTAGCTGAGGCAGAAAAGCATCATATGGTCCTGATTTCCAGAATATTTGGCCTTTTTGCCTGTGCAGCAAAAACTGCCAGTTCTGGGTTCTCAAGTGGAAGAAAGAGGGCTTTAGAAACACTCCTGGAAATAAGATTTCTTCATTTTGCCTTGTTTGTAACACCCAGATTTTAGTTGTTTTTTGGTTTGGTTTGGTTTGGTTTGGTTTGGTTTTTTGGGGGGTTTTTATGAGTTTTTTGGTTGTTTTTTTTTTTTGAATTCTGAAAAATATTTAAAATTGTGAGATAGGATTGGGTTAAACTATAGAGTTAGTGTAGGGACTAGTTAGAGAGTTAACTTGGTTTAAGAGATGTATAAGTAGTTAGAGAATAAAAGTAGGATCTTGAAACATTTTATAGGTGATTACATAAAGAGATGATGAAGTATATGAAAATTGGTTGTAAATACTATAATAATACTTTATAAATTATGTTTGTTATAAAAATTAGTAGACTTATATAATTAATATATAGATAGTAAGTGTTTGAGGAAGCTAATATTTTTTTAACAGTTATGCAGCACTAATAGCAGTAACTATTTATTAGTGTTATTTGTAGAAGACAAAACAACAG